TAGTTAATTTCTGCTTCCAACAAAACTAAGGAAGTATCAGGCAGACACATTCCAAATCCACGCAGCAGTGGTCCTAGAGCACTCTTATTCCCACCCCAGAGGAAGTTCAAGAAATCAGCCCTTATTTCCGCTTTAAGGAGATTATTTATTTAAATTTGTTATAGCCACCCACTTCCAACTCTCGGCGGCATACAAACCAGAACACCATAAAAGCATAAAATCACACAGTTTTTTTTTCTTCCTAGCATTTTCCTGCAGGTGCAGGGTCCACTTTTTTCGGATCAACCGAATGGTTGCAACAGGAATTGACCGACCGGTTTGTTGCCCAAGCCTGACGTTGTGGGTTGAGAGAGAGTGACTGGCCCAAAGTCGCCCAGCCGGCTTTCATGCCTAACCACACAGGCTGCCTGGACTAAATCAATCAGAAACACAACACAAATCGCAACGAATGGACTTCTCTCAGCCTAAATTAGAAAAATGTCATATGTTCCTGAAAATTCAGGCCCACGTAGATTCCCTTCCATCAATGCAGCCAGTGCTGAGAGACGCACATGGAAACAGAAGGCCTGCATGAGAGGGGAGCAAACGGAAGGGCTGCCCAGTGACCCTGCTCCAGGCCACCTTACATGACCCTGGTTCACCGGTCAGATCCCCACAAAGTGAAGGCTGGAAAGAGTATTGGAGCTAGATTGATGCAGCCCTGCATCTCCTTAGAATCACATCTATACGCCTTACAAGGAAGAAATTGCTCTTTCCTTAGGAACTGGAAAGCCCCTTTTTGAATTAGCAAAATAACCACCAAGCATGACAAAAGGTGATGTCAGAGGAGACCAGGAGAAAGAGAGGCAGCAGCAGCAGCACCCCTCGGGGGTCACTGCCTTCCATCTTCAGCACTGAGCTTACAGCACCCGTAGTAATTCTAGCACCACTTAACACCCACACTCTTTACCCATCCATCTGCATGTCTCCTCAATCACCAAGGTGGTGGGGTGCTTGACAACCCCCCCCCCAGTATGTGCACCTTCTCACCTGGAAGTTGTGACTCCCTCTAGGCCGCCCTCTCCTCCCCTGGCAGGACGTTGCCCCTGCAATCGGGGAAGCCCCCGCCCCCTGGAGTCCGGGAAGGCCGAGCCTGGCCCTCCAGAGGCTCAGCGGCCATGGGCCCCGCGGGCAGGGGCCGAGATGCGCGGGATGCTTTCGCCGGGCCTTCATTCTGATGTCGG